GTGACTACTAATTTTAAATCCAAGAATTAGGGGGAGGCTCACAAGCTCTGCTCTCATGTCTTACTGTTGTCTGTGTGCGTTTCAGTGCTCGTCATGGCAGCAGGACGGATGAATAAATGAACAACTCTTTGCATAAAACATAAGAGCAAATAGGAATTAAAGCGCTTGTCATTTCGCTCACAGTGGGATGAAGTGAAACAGGAAGCAGATAAACAGACTGTAAATGTTAGAAGGCGTTCACTGAGGCTGCCGGTGATGCAGCCTGAGGGAGACCGGAGAGCATCTTCCTCCTAACCAGAGCTGCTCAGTAAGGCTCAGCTTCGCTCTCAGGTCCTCGGCTCAGTGAGAGATCCTGCACACACTGAAATGCAGCGTCGTTTCTCCCTCTGCTCCGACGCCGGAGCCGTCAGTCTGTTCGTTCCTCGCTAAAATACTGCAGACGAGGCAATTGTGAGCTTGGGAAATGAACTGTGTCGTGTCCTTCTGTCACATTAGAGGCCACTTACAGTTCTAACTGTACAAACACAGAAGCATAGAAATGTCCATGCTTTATAATTCCACTCAGTTTTATTTACACAGCGCCACATCACAGCAACAGTCGCCTCAAGGCGCTTTGTATTGTAAGATAAAGACGCTACAATAATACAAAGAAAGCCCCGACGAGCAAGCACTTTGGCAACAGTTCTCATGAAGAGCTGTGCGCTGGTTTGGACAGACACAGCTGCGTAATGAATGTAATGTGATGCTATGGAGTGTTGCGTAATGTTACGGTGTTACGGACTCATAACACTCATTAAGAACACAGACTCCCTTTCCAGCAGGCCTGCATCCACGTGCACTCAGACAAACTTGATTTCTGCCACGGCTGCAGATTTAACTCGGGGTCAGGTCGGACCAGTAGAGACAAATATCTTCACAGCTCCGTGGCGCTGTCACCGTTTCTCAGCTGTCTGCACAAACAGCAGCTCCTTCATCTTTCTTCTTCTATCTTTCATCTCATTTCCACTCCACAGGGTGGGCTTTGCCGTTATCCAGACAAGGATCGATAAACGCAGCGAGAACAGTCCAGATGATATCGAGGCCTCGTGCGTGTCAGAACTCATGCAGGCTCTTAGATTAATCACCTGACGTCCTGTAGATATGCAGATTGTGTTCAGAAGAAAAGAAAAGATCAGAATAGAAAGGAAAACCAAGGAGGTGGAAGGTGTGCGTGCATGTGTGCGTGTGTGTGCGTGTGTGTGTGAAAGAAGAGGAGGCGAGGAGACAGGCGTGCAGGAAAGGAGGCTGATTGCCCGACTGATTTCATGAGTCACTTCTCTGCAGGCGAGAGGCTGGAGAGACAGGTGGCTGTGCGAGTGTGCCGGCCCGGCTCACTGTGAGTAATTTTATTAGGTGTGTGTGTGTGTGCAGCCTGACATGCTGGCCAAATGTGATCTTTGATGTACACTAGTGCCAGCCCGAGAAGGAAAAACACACAGTAGGAGAGTTAAACACACACACACACACACACACACACACACACACACACACACACACACACACACACACACACACACACACACACACACATAACAAATGTCAGCCTGTTGGCGATTTAGTTGCTGCCAGATTTTTTGAAAGGAACAAAATATTGAAGCTTCTTTGTGTCGTGTTTGCTGTGAGATCGAGTGCAGAAAAACAGACAGTTGAAGAGACGGCGCGTTATTACTCGCTGTAAACAAGAGAGAGGGCGGCTGAGGCCAGGCCGCAGCGTAAACAATCCATAAGTGATCAATTTCAAAAGCTCTGAGAGAGACTCCAGGACAAGAAACAGGAGAGACGCCCTGAGGATGATAAGACACGGGTGAACATCAGTGAGAGAGGGAAGGACACAGAGGGAGGGGATAAGAGGGCGCAGGTCAGGACAAATATGTCGCGCTTTAACGTAGTACGCTACGGGCCAGATTTACTGACGTGCTACGCCAGCGCAAAGTGTAAGAGGCGGGAACTGAGGTGTACACCAGCTGTAGTTAACGTTTTGACTGGTGTGTCATTAGTTCATGTAGCTGTGATTTACAGCGTGAGCACAGTTATCAGAGCAGCATGTCTGTGCCTACACCAGGATTTAAACCTTCAAAACAAAACAGGAAGTGGGAAACTGAAAGGATAACAGGAAGGTCCAGAGAGAAGTCACACAAACCAGGAGAAATCTCAGAGTCAGCGATGGAGCAGATGAAGGACTGACACAAAGACCACGAAAGCGTCTGCCAGTGGAAGCTGTCCTCTCAGAGTGAGCAGAAATCTCAGTACTGATGTGCAGCGACAGCCTCTGATGTTGTTCTCTGTGTGAAGATCCTCCGACATACTCTAAGAAGTCTGAACACGAGTCGTGACAGATGCGTCTGCATCAGTGCATCACACTCTGCTCGACAACAATACTCAGATCTTTAACGCTTCCCTCCCTGAGCACGCCGGTGTGTTGATGTGAGAGCTGCAGGCTTCTGCAGGATAACACACACACACACACATGCGCACACACATGCACACACACGTGCACACACAGACACACATGCACACACACATGCACACACACATGCACACACACAGCACACACACGTGCACACACACGTGCACGCACACACACATGCACACACACGTGCACACACACACGCACACAGCACACAGCACAGCACACATGCACACACACGCACACACACATGCACGCAGGAAGGGCCACCGTGCAATCAATAAGGCTACATCAGGGAATCGATGTCAGGCCCTCGTAATCTCCGGCGTGCTTCGACAGGCTCTTTGTGCGTCTGTGTGTTTTTAAAAACGATCACAGCTCAGATGTGTTGATGCTGACGGTGCAGGCGAAGCACGTTTGGACGCAGTTAGTTCTTCTGATTACAGGAAGTCCTCCAGCAATATTAAGATGTAAATATTCAATAGAAATGAACTTCTAGTTATGCAGTGAATATAAACAAAGGTTAAAAATGTATAAAATGAGGTTAAAATCAGTTTTTAATATTCTTCACATTCAAAATTTCATTTTTGGTTTTCAGTTTTTGGGCCCAGATGTTGTTTTGTAGTCTGAGCTCAGGCGTCTGACTTCCTGTTCATCCTGTTGGACCTCCAGTAAATTTCATATTCAGGAAAGATTTTATGTTCTGCGCAGCACAAACAAACATAAAAATCATAGACGGTGTTTCATATAAGTTACAGTCTTATTGTCTCATAAATACATTTCATAGAAAAGAAAAAAACATTTAAAAACACTCAAAGAAGCAAAGGTTGGACATTTATTTCTATACGGTTCCTTTACTCATACATATATTTGGCCTCTGACCTTCATCTGCTTATTTTCCTGTTTAAATGTCGTTCATCTAAAGTGAGGTTTTTGTGGAAGTGACTTGTTTCCGTCTGCAGGAAGCACAGCCAGTCGCCGATCTCAGCATTAAACTTGCACAAAGTGAAGACATTTGTAAACATTTAATTTTTCTTTTGTGTTTTTGCTGTTAAGAAGTAGAAAAATCAATATTTGATGTTAATGATCCACGAGTTTCCTGGGATGTGGAATTAATCCTGGGTGGATTATCCCGGTGAAATAAAGACTTGTTTATATTACTGACAGACTTCCTTATCATTTTCATGTTGAGGTGATTAAACACAATAAAGGGTGGGGCTTACATTAGCATTACAGCTCTCCGATGTCCACAGAGACTCTGATTGGTTTCAGTGGGCTGAAGAGGAGGATGCTGAGCTGCGAGCTTCAGATGGGAAGGCCGGATGGAGCGCACGCGTCTCTGTGCGGGAAGAGGCCGGAGGCCGCGCACCGGGACCTTTCCACCGCCTGCAGATTTCATCAAATTACGATGAAAATCAGGAACAACTGCAGTTTCCAATAAAATATTGACTGTCGCAGGCTCAGGCTCGGAGAACATCTGAGCCTGTTTAACAGACTCAAGGAGCCGAAACTGAAGCTGAATTATTTTAAATCTGTGAGAAAATGATAAATTTCTTTTGTTGTTGACGTGCCACTGTTAGCACCCAACCCACCCAGCTCTGCATCATTACAGTTTGTGTAGATGGGACAGTTTTATTCTTTCCTTTAAAACAATGAAGTGAACAAACCCGTCAAGACTGTCTCAGATCGTTCTGGTAGCGGCTCCATTTGTAGTTGTTAGCAAAAATACTTTAATGTACGTTGCATGCGCAGGGCGGCACAGTGGTGTGGTGGTTGGCACAGTCTACCTGACACGATCGTTGGGATAACCCGAGACTCTGAATCAGCCTCAGGGTCTCCAAGCAAGGAGAGCGGAAAGATTGGTCATGATGAGCAAGCGCCCGGCAACAGTACGGAGGAAAAACTCTTCTAACAGGAAGAAACTGAAGCAGGCTCAGGGAGGGGCGGGGCCGTCTGAGGGGGAAAGAGGAGAGCGAGAGCGAGCTCAGAGCTGTGGTCCCTCAGCCAGCATCCACTTTCATGCTGATCGTCTTATTTGATAAGACGATCAACTTATTTAACAGGCTCACAGGGTTCTTATGTGCTTTTTACCATCTGTCCTGATGCACCTGTAGCCTGTGTGTGTGTGTGTGTGTGTGTGTGTGTGTGTGTGTGTGTGTGTGTGTGTGTGTGTGTGTGTGTGTTTCATGCACAAATATTCTGTTTGTTTAGTGTTTAATTGTCTTTTGTGCCTGAGCCACTTTATAAAACCAACACTGCTGTAATGATAAGCCTCTCCTCCTCTGTGCCAGCCTGTGTGTGTGTGTGTGTGTGTGTGTGGTGTAGTGTGTTGTGTTGTGTGTGTAGTGTGTAGTTAGTGTGTGTGTATTAATGAGCCCCTTGTTAAACTTTAATGTCTCTGTTCCACTGTTGTCAGGGAGATTTACCACTGAGCCCTCTGGGAAATGTCTGCCCCACTGCTCCCTGATGCAAACACACACAAACACACACACACACACACACACACACACACACACACACACACACACACACACACACACACACACACACACACACACACACACACACACACACACACACAGAGTCAGGCGTGCGTGCACATCAGTTTGCACATGTGCATGAATGAATGCATACATTTGTGCTGCAGTGTATTATATTGTGTCTCAGCTTCAGCACTGAGTGAGCTGAGTGTGTCTGCTCTGTGGAGATGTGTCCGTGTGCGATTCTGCTGTGCTTCCCACTCGGTTTACCGCCTCAGCAGATGAAACACCCCATCGCCTCCCCGTCACCTCCCCGCCCCTGCGCCCGAACCATCCGCAGACCGAGCCGAGGTTTGGATGTGAGACCGGTTCTCCTGCATTCGTGTGAGGTCACAGGTTAATTTGAAAAACACACGGCCGTCACATCTGAAACTGGAGCACACCGTGAAGTCAGCTTGTCTTTGTCCTGAGTGTCGCTGACACTACTGACTGACACATCCTGTGTGTGAAAAATAATACAAACACTCAGTGAGGAGCACAGTGCTCCACAGAGCAGCACTCACAGAGGGGACAGGAACATTCATATGATTGTTTTATAGCAGAGACAGCTGAGGAAACGAGATACAGGGAGAGACAATAAAGATGATCAGAGGGAGAAGTAGAACTGCAGGCAGACAGGCAGACCACAGCTGTCCAGGTAAGACAGGACGAAGGACCCCAGCCGAGAGAAGAGACGGCAAACAGGAAGCTGGATGCTGCAAATACACAAATCTAAACACTAACACAGAAACCACCAAAGACTTCATTTAAAATAAATGTATGTCGCTGTCACTGTGGTGCTTTTTGAGGTTGTGATTTTCTTTTTAGTTCTTCCTGTTTGAAATGTTTTATTTCTATTAGTTAGCATTAGCTATTCTTTGCTCTGATTGGATGTTTAGTTATATTTGTTTCCATGTTGTCTCAGCTCGCCGTCTCCCCGTCATGTTCACCCATGTACGCCCATCGTGTCTCGTTCCCTCTTCCCTTGTCCCCTGTGTTGTATCCTCCCTTCCTCTCTCATGCTTCCTCCCTCCTTCTGTCTTTCGTACCAAGCTTGTGTGTCCCGGTTTATATCTCTCCGTGTTTCCTGTTTTATTTTGAAAGTCTTGTGTTTTCATGTCCAGTGTGTTTCCTTTTGCTTCCCCTGTGGTGTTCATCTGTGTCAGCTGTGTTTCCACTTGGCTGTGTATTGAAGTCCTCTGTCTGCCTCCGTTCAGCGTCAGGTCTCCTGTTTCCTGGACTTCATCTCATGTTTTCAAGTTTCGTTTTTTCCGGGTTCATGCTCACGTTCACGTTTTTTCATGTCTAGCTTTAGCTTCACCAGTTTAGGTCATAGTTTAGTTCTCACCATTGTTTCTCCTCCCTACATTTTTCTGACAGCTATGATAAAGGATCGCTTTTTGTTAAACTTCAGTTTGGGTCCACAAACACAGCGGCCATCCCAGCCGTAACACGAAGTGATTAAACAGCAGCCATCCAAGAGAGCATCAGAGCTCTGCGTGCACGTTTCAGACAGCAGACAGGTCGATATGTTTGAAATGTATGATTAGGAATAGACTGGGGTGATCGTTTTATTCTAAATTATAATATATAAAGGTTTATGTGGCTGATTGTCTTTATTGGGGCGTGTGGAGACACCCCTGTGGATCGTGGGCGTGGCTTATCTGGTATAATTAGCAGTCAGAGAGCCCTTTGGTTTGCTGTGCTTCACAGCTGCCGTGTAAGCTGGCGAGCTGAAGCTTCGATAAATAAAAATATGAACTCGTCTCTGCCTGCGTGAGTCTTGCTGCTCGATGGTCGTTCCTTACATACACGTTCAGTATGAGACGGAGAAAGACATGATATGTGACATAACGAGCTCCACAAAGCCTCGTTTTATCTCAGATACATATCCAGATATGTATGTCAGTATGAATTGGCCGGCAGAAATCAAACACCACATGTTTTTGAATCAGTGAGCAAATCAGAGTCGTGGGCGGCTGCAGAGAGAGTACAACTGCACATTTACATAGAAGCAGTGACTGTTAACACTGAATCAGCTTCACGGGGACAAATGAAGACGACCGAGGACGGCAGAGCTGTGTTTACACTGTCACCTCATAATGACTGCTGAACGGAGAGCACGAGGAGGTCGGGCCGTTTGAAATGCAAATGTAGCGCGATGGAAGCCGGCTGACGAACGGAGCTCTGATTAGAGAACGCTCAACGCTCCAACCTTTTTATTTCCTGGTTTCAGCGCCGTCTAATAGAAGCTGCCTCCTCTGATTTCCTTTATGTCACTGTGCAACACACACACACAGAAACGCAAACAATCAAACAGGGAAACTGAAATCCAAGCAGACACACGGGAAACTGTACATTCAGCACAATCCCACAGCATGCTTCCCCTCAGAGTTCAGTGTGTGCCAGCGGCATGAATAATGCACGTTAATGTTGTGCACCTCGCTCTTCAATGAATAATGAACATATATCCATTTCTCCTCCCTCTTTCTTTCCATCTTACTGTCGGTCCATTTCTCAGAGATGCCAGCTGGAGAGATGAGCTGTCTGAGGATGAAGGAATGAGAAGGAAGGAAGACGAAAAGGAGAGGAACCTCAGCCAGAGGAGACGAGAAGGAGAGAGGAGGATGTTGGGAGTTTTGTGAAAGAGGACAGGCGAAGAAAAGGTTCAGTTTTTTTACTTTCAAGTGGAAAAGTCCAAGAAAAGACAGACAGACTGTCAGTGACAGAAGCTGAACGAGTGAAGGAGGAAACATCTGGATGGTCTCCAGTGTTGCGGCCTTCAAAGATGGCCTCCAACTTCAATGACATCGTCAAGCAGGGCTACGTACGCATGCGCAGCCGCAAGCTGGGGGTGAGTGGGCGTTTCAGCTCTTCCATTTAAACATGATCTTCAGCGGGCCGGGTGAAACAGTGTCAGTGTAAAGATGTTTAGCTGCACATTTAATCCCTGAGCTGTCCGAATGTAGGAAAAGAAGTGAAACTTCAGCAGCACGGCTCAGTTTTTCTACGTGATAAAGAAATGAAAGAAACCTGTCAGCACGAATACAGAAAACTACAGAAAAAGTTCTGTTGGCTCATTTTCCCTGAAAAATGTCTGCAGTAATCATTGCTGTGTTTTCTTATTTGTATTTTCTAAGATAATTACATGGGTGTAGTATGAACAGCGATGGGGTCGAGGTCTTTAGGAGCAGGAAGACATATAAAACCAAAAATAGTGCTTTGATGTGGACGCGATGGATGTGGCTGTGAAACTGAGACATGCTGATAAACACCTGTTTTCTCACTTCCTGTTCTGGCCGTCTGTGGAGAAGTGAAGGGTTTTTGTTTTTTGATGCTCACAGCTGTGAAAAACCAAATGGTCCCAAAAGAAGCTGCAGACAGCAGCAGAAGCAGAGTGCCGTCACACAGGAGTAGTTTTTGGATTTACGCTGATGTCTTAATGATGTCAGGCCACTTATGAACCTCAGCGGCCTGGTGTGAGCAGGCCTGCCGGGCTCAGCCGGAGCTTACAGGCCGTAGATGAAGTTGTGTATGGGTGTAAATACAGACATTGCCTGAGGCTGTCCCGCTGCACTGACCATCACCTTGAATATTACTGTCCTGGAAAAGCAGCTCAGTCCAGCCTCACTTTGCTCCCACTGGGTTTGGAGACAGAGTGCGTCTCCTCACAGCTGTGGGATCCAGTTTCACGTCTCCACGTCAGCTGCACGGAGAATGCTAATTCGAGTGAGTTGCATTCAGACGGCGTAGGCGGCACAGTTCAACTCTGCACGACTTATATTATGGAACGAACGCAAATCAATTAAAGTCAGGTTCTGTTCGCCGGCTCGCTTCAAATAATGGTCGCGCTGCTATCGCCGCTCCCAGAGCTGAGTGAACAGCTCTCAGAGGGGACGCAGGAAATTCCCACTCCTGTGTGAACTCTGATATTACCCGAATAAAGTTTCACGTCCTTAAGTTTTAGCTCAGGTAATGGATTGCATATAAAGAAAAATGTGGCCTGTGGGAAATAATGCTGTTGAGTTTTATTGCCTGACCTACACTGACCGCTCTGTTTGTTCCAGAGTTTTTCTAAAGCCTTGCTCATAAATGTGAGACAGAGAGAGGAACTGTGGGTGGTTTCTGCTCCTGCTGGCTCGTTCAAACTTTTTCAGTGCACAGAACAAACGCTGGGAAAGGATCACTTTGTTTCTAGGTCCGATTGAATATCAGAAAACCAGCAGCACTGCTGGACGTCATCTTAAAATAAATTCAAAGTCAACTTTAGCACTGCCAGCATTTTATCCCGGTCTGGAATATCCGGCAACGACTAACTGGAATAACAAGTTTGGAAGATGTTTGGATTGGCTGATTTGATGCGTGTAAGCGAGAGTCTTTATTTTTCTGGATCCCTGATTTCACACGATGATGTCAGAGGTTTGTGTGGTGGTGGAGTGCGGATCTAGACCCGAAATGCAGCCTGAACACTGGGAGGCACAACGTGAACACAAAATGTACTTTGAATGAGTGAGTGGAGACAGTCCCAGGAAAACAGCCCAAACGGTAAAACACGAAAGCAGAAAAACAAACTAACGAAACGCATCACAGTATTTTATATCAAACGCACCAACAAAGAAGACCAGAAACTGAAGACACAGAGATACACAAGGAACAGCACAGGTGCAGACAGCTGGAGAAACTAAACTGAAAGGGTTAACAAAATAAAACAGGAAGTGATATAACATACATAAATTCCCTAGAGATTAATAAAGTATTCTGATTCTGATATATCACTTACACCTAACAGGGAGACAAGACTATGACTAAAAACCCTAAACACTAAACTGAGTATAATCAAGGTCAGAACTCCAAACAAAGGAGAGGGGAACTCAGCTAAGGATGGTCCTGCTGGAGGTTTTTTGCTGTTAGAAGGGAGTTTTTCCTTCCTGCTGTGGCCAGGTTCTTCCTACTCTGATTGTTGGGGTTTACCTGTATTACTGTACGGTCTCTTTCTACTGTTAGCCGCTGTTAGCCGCTGTTAGTCACTGTTAGTCACTGTTAGCCACTGTTGGTCACTGTTAGTCACTGTTAGTCGCTGTTAGCCTCTGTTAGCCACTGTTAGTCACTGTTAGTCACTGTTAGTCGCTGTTAGCCACTGTTGGTCACTGTTAGTCCTTTCGCTGTTAGCCACTGTTGTCACCTGTTAGCTCTGTTAGCCTTCTGATTAGTCCTGTTAGCTCTGTTAGCCACTGTTAGTCACCCTGTTAGTCTTCTGTTAGCCCATCTGTTAGTCCCTGTTAGTCGACTGTTAGCCACTGTTAGTCACTGTTGTCACTGTTAGCCACTGTTAGTCACTGTTAGTCACTGTTAGCCACTGTTGGCACTGTTAGTCGCTGTTAGCCACTGTTGGTCACTGTTAGTCCTGCTAGCCACTGTTAGCCTAGTCTGTTAGTCACTGTTACATTTGTCACTGTTAGCCACTGTTAGTCACTGTTAGCCACTGTTAGCCACTGTTAGTCGCTGTTAGCCACTGTTAGTCAGAGTCTTGAAATAAGGTCAGTAATGGTCTTGTTTCACGTGTGAGGCTGGGCTGAAAAATCTCACACAGCTAAAACTTGCTGCAGCAGATTCAAATCCTCCACATCAAGAGCCAAATGTGATTGAAAATAAAAGCTGAGAAATATTTTATATGTTATTATTTATGTTATGTATGACATATTTGAGTTATTTTTATTTGTTAAATACTACAGTAACTGTTTTACTGCAAAAATCTTGTATATTTTAATGATACCTAGCCTATTTAATCCACTTTAAAAGCTCTACATTTTGAACAAATGGGAATCTGTAGTTTTGAGGATGCGGTGAATTCCCATCACTTAAACATAGAAACAAAAAACAAAAACCTAAGGCACTTTCCCAAATTCAGCAACAGTTCTACTCGTCGCCAGCAGCTCCACGTTTTCTCCCCGTGCGCCTGGATCGTTCCTGCCTTCAGCACCACAGGACTCGGCGAGCGACATCTGTCTCCTCACCTGTTCCTCTCCTCCTCTTCATCAGGTCGCCTCATCACAAACTCATCATCATATCCTGTGCTATGATTTACTTTTGTTTGTGTTTGACGAGGTTTGAGCACTCGCCACACGTGTCACAAACCTCGCCTCTGCTGACACAGCTCCAAACACGACTCTGCTTACGATGATCAACAGAGCGAGCGAGCACGCACGAGCCTTGATGCATTGATACAGACGTATTTCACAGGTGGAAGAAGTAGTTCCTACTAATCCTTTAGACAGTCCCAATAAAATAGTTCCACAGACACATTTTACCTGGAGATGTACGTGAACACCTGTGTGTGTTGTGTGTTTATGTTTGCTATGATTTTAAACATCTGTAATCAGAACTCAAGCCTGAAATTACATGAAATCCAGAAGTTTCGTGAACGTTTTATTGTGATACTGTTTGACGCGCTGGTTTTGTTGCTAATCTGAACCTAGCTACAGCATTTACCTGTCCATCCACCGATGGCCTCGTGCTGACTCTGCCTAGTTTGCTGTTGGATCTGCAGCTGCAGGACCCGTGAAGCTCTGCAGGGTTCGTTTCTGCTGTTTACGTTCAGCTTTGTGAACGAAACCCACAAATGGCGCACAGCAGGAATGAACGGGCATCAGTTATGCTAATGAGCAAACGTGACAAACATGCAGCTGCTCGTTAATGAACCTGTTTGTCTGGATGAAACAAGCCTTTACAACAAGTGTAATAACAGGTCATAAAACCCAGATCCTGATTTTATAGCCTCTAACGTTCAGTGGTAGCGAGGGAGGGATCTGATTGTGCGCTGGATTCAAATTGCTTTTGGGTGCACGAGGGATTTACAGGAAATGAGGCGCGCATGTAATCCAGCATCATTTTATCTCGCCACTCTGAGTCCCAGTGACGGGAGAGGGATCACCAACAACCGGGGGCATCACCCTGTAGCCACGCCCTCTTTACGAACGGTGTGAATCACAGTTTCTGTGACCTTCTGACTTTTTCTGTAGCGCCATCATCTGGTCATATTTAGTCTTTCCTGTGACGCTGTTTTTAAAAGCAGGAAGATGAATGTTCTTGGATTTTCTGACTCCTAACTGAAACAGAAGCAGGGCTCTGACAGTCGGTGTAGATTATTTCCCTGCTGAGGTCTGTGTGTCTTCTCAGCTTTGCTTTAGCTGCTCAGATTCTGAGGAGGACTGTTTTCTGTCCTTCATCATGAAGATGAGGGATGGAGCGCTAATCGTCGTGGGCTTTTGTTCTTTTCCCCTCTTTTATAAATGCGGTTAATCACTTGGAGGAGTTCTGGGACTTCTGAAATCTGAAAAAGAAATGATTGGTCCATGAAGCGAGTGATGAATTGAGGGATCTAAAGTGGTCTTGATTGGCCCGGGCATGGTCGTTTTATCTGGAAATAATTCATGTAATGGTGTGTTCCAGCTGGAAGGCAGACCTACTTATCCACAGCAGAATTCCTTCTCCGTTTCGCTCTCTTTGGGAATCTTTCTGTTTGCTTTGAACACTATCTCATGTCGTATTTTTGCCCGGTCGTCTCTGACTGCCCTGCCGTTTAATTGCTCTCCGTCTTCGCTTTCTCCCTGTGCTGCTTTCTGCCCTCAGTGCTGATTCTGCACAGCTCTTCCTTTTCTGTCTCGTTATCTGCATCCTTCCTCGGCGTTCCCGTGCGCCATCCACCCCTCTCCCTCTGTGTTTTTGCCCTTTTAAATTTGCTTCCTTATTCCAGCTCAGTCTTGCTGGCGGTCTTGCCCTTCGTCGTCCCGTGGAGCGCTCTGGCAGATATGAAGAGGCTTTGCAGCAGCAGAGGGATCAGAGATGATGTTAAGG